CACTAGCAGTTGCAGTAGAGTCGGACAACAACAGTCCGGGTGGACATAGCAGTGAACGTCGATCAGAACGATTTCAGACCACGGACCCACTCCCCACCATACATCGCACACTCGCCGACCGATGCAAACAACTACTTGTACTAGCCGTGGCTTATCATGTTATGATCCACACGGACCATAGGCTTAGTCTAAAACTATTACTATTAGTAATACAAAAAAAATAAATAGTTTAACTATTTATTTTTTTGTATTACTAATAGTAATATACTGGTTATCTACTACTAGTACCATGACTACTACAGTGTAGTAGATCCTAGCCCCAGGTCTACAAAGTACAAGACAAGCTAAGCAAAAAAAGACCCTTGCACATGACATGAGTCATGACATCGGGACAGACTGCCTATAAATTATAATCATGAAAATGATGGCCTAGTAGATCTACCTACCCCAGTGTTCGGCACCGCCAGACATGGATAGTCCAGTCTGCGAGTCCGTCCTCACTCAGCTCAGCCTCAGATGCGGCGAGCTGGACGTGCACAACGGAGGAAAAGAGTGCGGTTGGACAAAGAGGCATGGTGGGTGTGGGGTGCGTCACCCCGGGCGTTCTATTTGGCATGTGTCGAGTGGCATCACCATCATCAGGCATGTACGGCCCTGGTGCTGGAGTAGAGAGACCTTCAAGCAGCTATGGTAATTGGTATGAGGACGGGCAACAATGGTATTACTAGTCCTGGCATGCACTGGACAAGTCAAGACGATGTGAAGTCATGCTTGCACGGGGTTTCCCCTACATTGCAACCAGGACATGGATTGACATAATGGAGAGAGTCAGTATGACATGTAGCTTGGTAGACCTACGTGTATTGAGTCGGTACATACCAGGGAGTCGTAAAACATAATAATAATTATTATTATTGTTTTACCACTCCCTGGTATGTAATAATAGTATTATTACTTTCACGACTCCCTGGTAATAGTGGTATGTGACCATGGTGCCATGTGACTACTGTGCGGCACCGACTTACTCTTCCTAGCACATTTTCAAAATGTATCCTAAAAGCTGACAGTGACACAGATTGTAGTTTCCACATAGATCTACCAATGCCAATGGCAATGGCAATGCCAATGGCTTACCTTGAACGAAGAAGCCCCCCACCCTCCATACACACACACACACACACACACACACACACACACACACACACACACACACACACACACACACACACACACACACACCACACACACACACAAACACACACACACACACACACACACACACACACACACACACACACACACACACACACACACCACACACACACACAAACACACACACACACACACACACACACACACACACACACACACACCTCCGTGGTCGGTAGAGCCCCGGTCTTCACGACCATCTGAACCGCATGGATGTTAGACCCGCTTCTGACCCTCTGTATTCTAGAGGAGTTGTCTTAGTTTTCTTGTTGTTGTACCGTCAGTCGTGTATTCTTTGTTCGGTCTTGGATGTCATCCCAAACCGGGTCTAGCACCCATACGGTTCAGATGGTCGTGAAGACCGAGGCTCAACCAACCACGGAGGTTGTAGGAAGGTCACTGTTTCCAAACACGGTGGTCTCCACCTTATTACATGCTGTCAACCAACGACATGTTTCAACAAAACAAGGTTAGTCTGATACTCAATCTGCGGACAGAACTGTTTCCTAATATGTATGGACAGAGTACAATGCAACCATGACTGTACGCCACAGAGTACAATGATGCAAGCATGCATATAATTATATTATATAATTATATTATATAATTATCAGCCCCAGGGCCGAACACAGTCAACGTTGCGAATAGCGCGACCCTCACTCGGCCATGAGAAAAGTGTTGTAATATTTTGTTATTTGTGACTTGGAAATTGTGGGCACAAGTTATGCAATCGAGTCCACCAACTAAACCAGATTTTGAACAGTCAGTCAGTCGATCGCTAAACTGGTGGCCACAACTTCCATGTTACAATTTGTTTCCTTGGCTCACCATCTGAGTTCTATTTTGTTATTGTTTTGCGATTTAAAATCTAAAACTAGCTAGCTTCACTATGATAAGTAACAATAATGCAGGCTGGGGCTGGGACCTCCTGTAAAGTAATGCCTTGTACATATGTTTGGCCCCGATACTCGCTTCTCCTGGATAGTGGCATTTTTGCACTCCCATGCACTGTTGTTGCTAGCACCTGCAATTACATGTACATGTATGTACTACATCATGTATGTACTATGTACGCATGTACATACACGTGCCATGGCCTGACCAACCGGAGCGGTTCCGCCGGGCCTGCTTGGTCTGAATAATTATGTCAGTGTTGTTATTAGCGAGATAGTGTTATGATCCGAGGTTGTTATTCTCAAGGTTCACCACTAGCAAGAATATCGGTAAAGGCTAATGATTGCCATGATTAATCCACACCATTTCCATTGTCGACATGTCTGCATCTAAAATAATTTTTGTCCTCCTTTTTTCACCATAAAATAATTCTGCAGCACTTTCTGGGAACGTTTCGCCATTCTCATAGAGGATATGACAGCCTAGTATTAAAAATGTAGGAATGCTTTTCACACTAAGTTATTCTTGCCACCGCCCGTGACAAGCCTAGGAAATGCCTGCACTCGCCTACACCAAGAGTACATAACCCCCCCAGAGTGTGCAACTCCACTATGCATGGGTGCTGTCCCGACAGAATTTCAAGTTGACGTCATTTTGATGATGCAATGTGCACTGTACACGGATTATCAGACGAATCCGGAACCTGTGGTTGACGCGAAGCCGATCGATCCTGTACAAATTATTGCAAAGAAAAACGTGTGATGCGTTGACACCCGTACACATGTTGTAAATCACTGGTGCAAGGAGCATTGCGTCATAAATAATGACGTCAACTTGAAATTCTGTCGGGACAGCAGGATATGTGGGAGTTGCACAATCTGGGGGTTATGTACTCTTGCCTACACTTACATGTATCTATACTGGTAACGTTAATGGCAACATCAATGTGCTCAGATACATAACAAAAACGACTTTTGGGTTGTTGCCTGCATAGTCAACGGCAGAACTCTGTTTCCGCGGTCAAAAGTGCAAACTCCAGGGATCACTGTGATCTCTGAGCCGGAAATCATCGTGGCCACGGAATCACATATTTCAAGGGAACAGATTGCTGTGAAAGGAATGTCTTCTCCTGCTGCATATACTTCGAGTGCAATACTATAAATGAAACTTCGCAGCAGCATTATGCAGCCACTCCTACGGTTGGGTTCACATGGGGGAAAAAAAAAGAAAAAGAAAAGAAAAAAGGATTCGAATGGTCTTGGTCCGAGGAAGCTGAGACGCTCCCTTCTTCCTTTATTCCCAATCGAACTCGCGAACTTCCACCGAAGGTGACTGGTGTACGTAGGAGCACGTGACCGCTTGGTCAACCATGTTCGATTGGGAATATAGCATCAACGCTGCATCGCAGCCTTTTCGGACCAAAACCAGTCGACTCAGCGTCCAAACGACTACAACATGTGGGCCAATCGCGGTCATCCGTGCTTTTATAAGAACGAAATGGCGCTTTTAGTGACATTTTGCATACAAATCCCCATCTACATGTATATCTTGTAGTAGGGCGCAGTCACCCAGTTTCGGTGGAAGTGCGTGAGTTCGATTGGGAATATAGGATGAAGGGAGCATCTCAGCTTCCTCGGACCAAGACCATTCGACTCAGCAGTGAGCGCCCCAAAGACTACAACTAGTGAAAATTTGATTTTAGGCTTAACTTCCCCTTTAGCATGTTGCCATACTTTCGTTAAAATGATTTAGCATTACTACAAAATTAATACATTCTAAACTGAACACAACACATGCTAAACTGAACACAACACATTCTAAACTGAACACAACACATTCTAAACTGAACACAACACATTCTAAACTGAACACAACACATGCTAAACACATTCCTAACTTTTAAACACAACACATTTTTCAGATAAGCCTACCTCAGATTTTGAAACCTGATGCCATCTTCATCATCAGCTTCAGTATAGCTTGTGCCAATCACCTGATCACACGGCGTCCATGTAACCGATAGCCAGTGGTCTTCACATCTTCTCATGCCATGGCTTATAACCATGTAGGACTAACAATGCTGGGTCAACAATTCTGTACACCAGCCGTAGTCATGAAACTGTGCTGCAGGATATCTGCACACAAATCCGAATTGCACCACCAGCAATGAATCACTTGCATGCACACGATGCAAATTACACAAGCATACCCATCACAACATGCAGTAATAATAGTATCACAGACAGCCATACACTTACAGGTACATGAATTAAAGACAGCCATACAGGTACATGAATTAAAGACAGCCATACAGGTACATGAATTAAAGACAGCCATACAGGTACATGAATTAAAGACAGCCATACAGGTACATGAATTAAAGACAGCCATACAGGTACATGAATTAAAGACAGCCATACAGGTACATGAATTAAAGACAGCCATGCAGGTACATGAATTAAAGACAGCCATACAGGTACATGAATTAAAGACAGCCATACAGGTACATGAATTAAAGACAGCCATACAGGTACATGAATTAAAGACAGCCATACAGGTACATGAATTAAAGACACCCATGCAGGTACGTGTACTGCATCTACAACAAATCTACAGGCAGGTGGAAACAAACAAAAACTGCACAGATGAGTGAGATGACATTTTCCTAACGGAGGAAGCTAGTGGCTGTGAGTTGAACCCTCGCCCATCCCAATGCCCAGGCAAGCTAAAAACAAACAGTTGCCACCATACACACACACACACACACACACACGCACACACGCGCGGCGGCAGCAGCAGCAGCAAACTGGCCAAACCCTATCACCGTAAACCAGGAAGTATTGTCCTACTCCCTGCCGTAACCACACACAAGCAATCTTCACCGAATACAAAAGCAGTGAAGCGAGTAGTTGGCCAAGCAAAGCAAAGCGTGTATAAGAGCATCGAATCACAGACAGAGGCTCAATCAGAGTAAGGAATTCAAGTCTTTAAAAAAACCCATGGCAACCAGGCCAGGTCATAGAAGTGTGAGAAAGCCTAAGCAGCATAAGAAGCGGCAGAAACAGAGAAGGCTATGGGGTATTGTAATGTTACATGTACAACCAAACTGTATGACTTTCGGTGGCAGCAACAGTACTACAGGGTCCAATATATACATTCCATGGCACATGAACATCTGATGTACTGCAACGTACGGCTCAACATGCAGCAGTGTAATTTAAAGTTCAAAGCCACACAAAGACAACGAGACGCCAACATAGTAAAACAAATTTAACAACACCACACGTAAATGAACACATTCATGAAAATGAACGCACACACATACATACACACACACACACACACCACACACACGCACGTACACACACACACACACACACACACACACAAAGACACACAGCGACAACAACACACAAAGCACGGAAACAGCAGGGAGTCGACGCACGGCAAATGGTTACCAATGGTCCCACGCACGCACGCGCAAGCTTAGCTCAGTCTGCTCAGTCGCTTTCATCACCATCATCACTGCCTACGTCACTAGCTCCAGACGTTAGCTCGGCTTCTTCCTCATCATTCGAGCCTTCGGACGGCAGCTGGGCTAGCTCCTCGTCGTTCGACTGTCCGCGTCGTGAGCGTGTGGACCTCTTTGCCGGCGGTGCCCCATCATCATCACTCTCATCCTCCATGACAACATCACTACCACCACTGTCACTATCACTGATCTCCTCCTTCGAGATCGGTGCTTCCTTCTTCTTGGCTTTCGCCACACTCGTAGAGCTACGGTGAACAAAACAACGAGAATATAAAGTGGGTTAACATATCAAGTTGTCTGCCACACACACACAGATCATACTCCATCAATAATCTCCACTTTCTTTTTCTTGGTCGTTGTGTCGGTATTTGCAACTTAAAATAAAAGGTAATTCGCTACAGTTTCAGGCGTCGCCACACACTTCTTCGGAAGCTATTCACCAGAATTTCATCAATGTAATAATTTGCTCATAATGGTGGACTACCAAGAAAAGTTCATGATGATTCTGAATCTGCGATAAAGTTTGTAGGTTCCCATATTCGTTCTTTGTGATATCGAGGCCCAAACATTGGAATTTCGGGCAAAATGGCAACATTTGCGACTTTTAGACAAATAGAACAGTAGGAAAACTCTGGGGATCCCCATTTTCTATTTCACAAAACGACTTCCAAAGACACATCTGCAGAATTTGAAGAGAATATTCCATGGATGATTATTTAGGGGTGAAACGATCATCGAAATTGGTTACCGACTACTAATATGTTGTTAACGATCGAGCTATCGATTATACATGTAGCAAAACTAGCAACAATCTTCAGGTGTTCAATTATAACAAAGTTGTGCTACCTTCCTCCCTTTTCTGAGAAAATACCACTGAAGCAAATCGGAATAATGGGGTGGTTTGCTGCGAATGCCGGTGAGAGACTGTGAAGCACACAGTGTGACACTGGTAGGTAAGTACACTCATACCTCGTTTATCCGGGCGGTCAGGGACTGGCCACTGCCCGCAACTTTGAAATGTCCGTGACTCCAAATCACATACATTTTGATACGGAAAGGCCATAAAATGGCACAATTATGACGTCACTATTTCCACAAAAAGTGACAGTAGAGTAGTAATATTTCCACTTAAAGTCGCCCAAAGGGTGCTCGGTAGACCGAAGTGCCCGTAACCTCGGGGTCCGGATAACCGAGAGGTACCGGTATGTGTGTAGTGTATGCAACATTTCAAAACACAGATATAGAGCACTGATATACTGTTAGACACACACCACCACAGATACAGTAAAATCTGTCCAGGTAACCATTCTGATAAGGCGAACAACTGAATTTACTGTCCTACAGGACCACTGCAACCAGAACCAAGGCATGTTATTTCCAGTCAAAAGACCCTGGATAAGGTGACCACCCGTGCAAGGAGGTCGCCTTTGACGGGTATACTGTCAACTGTCTACTGCCAGACATAGCCTCGGAACACTATGTAAAAGCAATGACATATTGGGGCAGGAATGGGATTGCAAAACGTGGATACAAACATTGGACGCAATCCTGCTAACCAACCTGGCTGATGGCTTTTGCTTCTTCTCTTTCTGTTCCTTCTTTTCTTTCGGTTCCTTCTTTTCTTTCTTTTCTGCTTTTTCTACCTTCTCCTTTGGCTGCTTCGGCTTGCTTGGTGCCTGGAACAAACGGTGGCACGAATAGCATGACATGTACCCAGGTAGGCGAAAAAAGATTGCCATTGAATAAGAACCACACACCATGCACACACACACACACACACACACACACACACACACACACACACACACACACACACACACACACACACACACACACACACACACACACAGGTATTCACTGTAACAGCTCTCCTATGTCACCTACCTTCTTCCTCTTCTTGCTCTCATCCACAGCCGGGACTGTCTTGGCTGCATTCTCCTCATCACTCGACAACATAGCATCAGAATCAAACCTATACAGGCAACAACCGCACAAACAAACCACACGGCAACGACGTAAAAGAAAGCTAAGTCCAGTTCAATAGATCAGGTAAGAACGTGCCCAGCTGCTCACTGTGATCAAACATGAGCAATGTGCTGCTACTACAGCCATCCACGGGCAGCATGGAGTAACAGTTAAGAAGACACTCAGTGATGCCACTGCACTGCACGCCAAGACAATAGCTTCTGTCATACATGATAACTAACTACTGTCAGGTTTTGCGCCGGAGTCAGTCAGCCTGTGGCGTCAATTTTGTGATTAGGTGGACACTTGGTGAATGTACTTCAGGGATCGATTTACTTTGATTTTTTTCCATAGCAGTCACACAGCGCACAGAATTTTCGACGAACAACTGTTCGTCGAATCATGTTCGTCCCCAAGCCATTTCGTTGACTAGCCCATTAGGTGACTGTCCTTTTCGACGTGTGAACTTCTCGCCGAGTGACAGGTTAGACGAAAGGTATTTTCATCGACAACCTTTGTCGAGGTGTGGGATTTTCGTCGAATGACACGAAATCGACCTCTAAATATACCTAACAAAAGCAAACGAAGGGAAAGGGAAATGTGCAAATGCAAGGCGAACATGGGCGAGGACACAAACAAATGAAGGGAGCGAAAGGTTTCCATGGCGTGAGCGTGGTGGTGCAATTCTAACAGATGGATCAAAACAAAAACGTTATTACAGATAGGTGTGCCCTCCCAATAATCAACCATATAAGGCATATCTGTTGATGTTCTTCAAGCAACTACGAGAACTGATGATGGAAGTGGATCTCAAGACGACCACCAAGCGTGGAAAAGAAAAGCTCATTCACCGCGGGTATGGCTACGTTGTGGACAAGGTTGGAAAGGATGGAGTAGTTTACTGGAAGTGCGAGGAGAAGGATGCCTTGAGCTGCAAGGGAAGGATGAGGACAAGGCACGGGCTGGTGACGGCGGTAACTGGCAACCACACTCATGCTCCGGATGCCATGCGTGGGGACGTAGCCAAAGTACGGGACCAAGTATCCTCACGGGCTGCCACATCGCAAGAGTCCACGCATCAAATTGTCACGGCCGCTGTAAACTCTGCTTCACCTGCTACGGTTGGGTGTCTGCCATCCGAAAGTGTTCTGAAAAGAACCGCTCAACGCACGAGAGTCCGAGCAGGCAATGCTCCCCCAAACCCGACTTCACTAGCGGAGCTCGTCATCCCTCAAGAGTACACCACCACGGCGAACGGTGACGACTTTTAGTTGCACGACAGTGGTGCTGCGTCCGGGATCACCGCATCCTGGTGTACGCTACCAAGGAAGGCCTGGACATATTAGAAAAGTGGGACGCGTGGTACGTGGACGGCACATTCAAGACTGTTCCTAGGCTGTTTCTCCAACTATACACTGTCCATGGCTTGCATCAGGGTACCAACATCCCTCTCGTGTATGCCTTGCTTCCAAGCAAGACTCAACTGTGCTACGAGAGATTTTTGTCGGCTTTGTTGGACAGCAGGCCAGATCTCAATCCCAGCACGGTGATGTTGGACTTAGAGTTAGGCATGATTAATGCCATCAAGTCCAAATTTCCTGACGCCGAGTGCACTGGATGTTTCTTTCACCTTTCGCAGAACGTGTACCGACATATCCAGCGCAAAGCAGAGATGCTGGAGCTCTACACCACGAACGCGGAGTTCGCTCTTGCGTGCAAAATGATTCCGGCGCTCGCCTTTGTGCCAACAGGAGATGTATTTCTTTTTTTCTTTTTTTTCTTTTCCATCAGAAGCCTGAACAGTGATGAACACATCTCTTAAAGGGGAAGTTAAGGCAAAAATTTAAATTTCACCAGTTGTAGTCTTCGGGGTGCTGAGTCGAATGGTCGTGGTCCGAGGAAGCTGAGACGCTCCCTTCCTACTTGAATCCCAATCGAACTCGCGCACTTCCACCGAAACTGGGTGACTGCGCCCTACTAGATGGGGATTTGTATGCAAAATGTCACTAAAAGCGCCATTTCGTTCTTATAAAAGCACGGATGGCCGCGATTGGCCCATATGTTGTAGTCTTTTGGACGCTGAGTCGACTGGTTTTGGTCCGAAAAGGCTGCGATGCAGCGTTCCTCCTTTATTCCCAATCGAACGTGGTTGAAGAAGCGGTCACGTGCTCCTGGGTGCCCAAATCACCTGGTCACCACGCCAGCAGGCGACAACTTTCACACCAAGGTTCAACTCGAGTGACAGGACTGCACCCAAAAAAGGTCAAACAGGCTAGTAAGTTGTACCCTGCAGGCACGGTGACCAGGTGTCTGGCGTACGCAGCAGCACGTGACCGCTTGTTCAACCATGTTCGATTGGGAATAAAGGAGGAACGCTGCATCGCAGCCTTTTTGGACCAAAACCAGTCGACTCAGCGTCCAAAAGAGTACAACATATGGGCCAATCGCGGTCATCCGTGCTTTTATAAGAACGAAATGGCGCTTTTAGTGACATTTTGCATACAAATCCCCATCTAGTAGGGCGCAGTCACCCAGTTTCGGTGGAAGTGCGCGAGTTCGATTGGGATTCAAGTAGGAAGGGAGCGTCTCAGCTTCCTCGGACCACGACCATTCGACTCAGCACCCCGAAGACTACAACTGGTGAAATTTTAATTTTTGCCTTAACTTCCCCTTTAAGAGGGCCGATAACAGAGTGGAGGGGTGTGGGGTGAGAAAAATAATAATAATAAGAGATGTTTAAACTATACTAAACTGATACAGTAGATATTGGTTATAACGTGCCCTTCTGATTTTTCACTATAACCGGTATATCACTACAGGCGATTTTCAACTGCGCTCGTCATACATACACATTATACACGTGTGGGTATTCGATCGCGTTAATGTAGCGTACTGATACATGGTGCATGCTGCTGCACCTTCCCCAGCCTAGAGTGAAGAACTTCTTGGCCCAAAGGCATCATCCAGGAAGCATCAGACCAGAATACACTATGCAAAACACATGTGGCTCCAAGTCGAGACATCAATGCCTCACACTCGAGTGTTGCTATCACTATAGACGATAATTTTTCTGCACAAAGAGGTGATTTGAATGGTGATTCTGTATCCTTATAGCCGATTTATCGCTATATCCGATATATTGGTTATAATGATAATTTGACTGGCTTTTTTCTGGTTTTGCTTTTGATATCTTCATTTTGTATCAATATAGCCGGTTTATCACTATGTCCGATGACTTTATAACCGATATCCACTGTACTTGGAACAATAAAGCAGCAGTATAAGCAGTAAGCAGTAAACACAGGTATACAATACACGCGATGCAGATCAATGAGGCCGTTTGCTGAAGAGAAGATCAAAATACTTCTGAAAAGACGCTGCGTCTTTTAGCATGGTCTGAAGGTGCTTAGCAAATGTAGAAGTGCGGTGCTGGGTGCGCCACTCCATAGGCAAAGAATTAAAGAACAGTGCAGCACGATTTGAAAAGGAATTGACACCGTCAGTCATCCGGAATTTAGATATTGCAATAGCAGCATTAAAAGAGCTTCTTGTTGCCCTAGGGCCGGTTGAAACTGGAGGGAAAAGGTCCGTCAGATTTGGGAGAGGGAAAACGACATGATTAACATGGATAAATTTAGCAATGCTACGAATAAGGCAATGTTCAAATGAATCAATCGACAATCTAGCTAACAGCGGCATGACGTCATCTTGTAGTTTCGAGCCACAAGCAGCGCGTACAGCACGACGATAAACGGACGAGAGTCGCTGTCGGTCCTTGGCGGATAGCTTCATTGCAAAGCAAGAGCAGCAGTATAGTAAGTCAGGCAGGATAACAGAGAGGATAAACTGCCGTGTTGCCTTCAAACTTAGTTGCCGAAAACACCGTTGAAGAGCGCCAACTTTTGTGCAAGTCTTCCTAACGACAAAGTCTATGTGACCAGACCAAGAAACATCACTGTCTACAATGACTCCCAGGATTCTCGTGCTAGACACTTGAGTCAGAGGCTGTTGGTTAAAAACAATAGGATTTGAGAGATGTTAAGATGTCATTGACTACTTTGAAGTTCTGGATAGCAATGCCCCCGATGCCCTGGATCCGCTGTTGAACTACTTCGAAGAATACTACATCGGCCGACTTAGGCAGAACGGCGAGTGTAGAACCCCTTCGTTTCCTCCCAAAACTGTGGAACGTGCACGAGCGGACGCTAAACAACGACGACAGGACCAACAACAAGATCGAAGGTTGGCATCGCCGTTTCTCTTCAACCATTACATGTAGTCATCAGACTATTTGGAAGTTCCTTGAGGGAGTGAAGACGAAGCAAAAGGCAACAGAGAACACGCTCGAGCGTCTTGTTGCAGGCGAGGCACCGCCCAAGTAGCATACCAAGTACCAACATCGCGACACACGGCTGAGAGCACTGGTAAGCTCATTTGAAGGCAGACCATCACTGGAATTCTTGCGCGGAATTGCCCACAACCTGTCATATCCAAATGTGTGAGGAGAATCCTGACAGAAATCCTTGTTTGTTTGCTCGATCATCAAGGAGCAGGAACTACATAGCTCAGCTCAACGTTGTTCAGAATCTCATAGCATTCTATTGCCTTCAAGCACGTGCTATCTGATCCAAATCTCCACGATGTAACTGTTGATAGTTTACAATGATCCTTCTTTGCTTTCTCTGTCGCCGCCTCGCAACATGGCTATGTCCCTTCATTTTCATCTATGTTTTACACCTGTGTGTGTGCACTGGAAACACCACCTCATCTATATCAAAGTTCCTGTAGGCTGTAGGTATGAGGTGCTTCTGAAGCATGGTTTGAGTAGTTGTCCAACAGGACAGGCGATGAAAAGACAACTCGTCTAAGGGGGGAGTCGACGAAAAGACCAGTCGTCGAACAAGGTTGTCGGCGAAAAAGGCTGTCGGCGAACGGGGTTGTCGTCGAACAGGTTTCGACGAACTCTCGTTCGTCCAACAGGTTGTCCGCGAACAGTCGTGACACCTTCTTCATCGAAACGAATCGACACTCCTGGCGCGTCCAGTTCTTTTTCCCGCTTCTGGACAGTGATTAGATTCACTGACATGTTGGCTACATGAGACTAAGAACCATCTACTTCAACTGTGTCTTGTCGAACAGAAACAAACTGAATTGAGCTTGAGAGTGAAAGAAGAAAGGAGAACTTCAGGGAAAGTCGCCGCCGTGTAGATCTACAAAACTTCAAAAGACTGCAGTCTTGTACGACCAGTGCTATAGTAGATCTACTAGTAGTGGCTAATGCAGTGTCCAAAATCAAACAGAGCGCGGACTGAGCAGGACAGGCCAGTTGGTTGGAGTAGTAAAATACTACTCCCTAGCCAGCAGTGGTGTACAGCAGTCGCATGCAAACTGCACAGAAACAGTACAGAATGGTCTTTGTACATACCAGTATACATGGCCAGTGCATCGCAGTTTTGGGCGATAAAAAACAAAAAGCGAATCGCAGCCAGTGAATTTTGATTCGCAAACTGCGATGCGAACCCGGATAAATCGATCCCTGTACTTGGAAAGTTCTCCAATTCCTGAGAACAACCGACAACCGTCTAGGTTGAAGGTAGCTCGTCCACTTGGTTCACTAAGAAGATACTGCGTGACTGCGTTATTAGTTTTCCATTAAAGAGAATGTTGGCTGCGGTTACTCACTCCAAATCACCAGCACTATCCTCTCCGCTACCGCCAGCAACATACGATGAATCATCTGTCAATGCACACAACATACCAGTTCACACACAATGTCATGCACGATGTAGAAAGCAGAGTGGACATGGCTGTCAACGAATACTCACTGTGTATGCTATTAACCCGACTGCTGCATGGACGATAAGTGCTGCGAATAGTGATCATGCACCCTGGCCTGAGTAACTGAGTGGTGCAGATAACTTATCATAAGTATCAGAGGCGTGCGTGCACAGTCAGTGCTAGAACGTGAGTGGGCGTACCAGCGTGTGCGCAGCGTGTGTACCTGCATGCATGCTTGTGCGGTGTCAGACTGCGGGTGCGCGTACGCGTGCATGCATGTGTGTGTGCATGCGTGGGGGTGTGTGCGTGCGTGTGTATGTGTCTGCGGGTGCGTGTATGTGGGTGTGGCTGTGCGCGCTTGCGCGCCTGCGGACGGTGAACAGTTACTTTCCACAGCGAACATAGTTCTTGTAGCAGACACTTCGCCATCTGCCGAGTTTCATGATCTCGGATTCGGTGAAGCCGCTCATTGCTCCTGTGGTTGCGGCTCCGGCTCTGAGGCCGTGCAGTGAATACTGGATAGGTGGGTACCCTGCGCTGCTCAGGAGCTGACGGATTAGACGTGTGAGTCTTTGTGCAGTTAGGAACTTGCCACAGCTGTCAACGAACAGTGGTCTATTGGGCAGGTTGGGGCGTCTGGAGAGATAGGTATGCATGGCTCTGACCGGGCAAACCGTTGAGTTGGTGGTTGTGAGCCGGACGGAGTGACCCTTGCCGAGTTGGTCGGTCTTGGACTTTTTGATTGTGACCTGTATTGCCTGCGGCGTGATGGAGAGGTCTTCTGTTCGGAGGCCACCGTCTGACATGGTTGTGGCGTGGAAGTGTACTCACTTGCCCGGAGACACGCAAAGAAGCCCAGGCAAATAGCTGCCCATACCATGGCTCGGTCGGTCGCGTTGAGGTTAGACCGTATCAGGGCATTGCGCATAGCTGCCATGTGGGGCAGGAGGATTGGCTTACTGGCGTTTTTAGTTCGGTTGGCCTGTGCACGTGCCACTCCTTGAACTGCGAGGTCCACTCTTCGCGACGAGAGATCTTTGCCGTTTTCTTTGGCGATTGCCCGGATCGCCGACACATACAAGCGGACGGTTGACGCGGCATGTTGACGCGCCAGGTAGGCTACAAACGCCAGCATGATGGTGTCTGTAATCACCTTGGTGCCGACTAGTTGGCAGAATTGGTGCAGTCGTTTCCAGGCTGTCGCGTATGTGGCACGTGTGGACGCTGACAGGCCTAGCCACTGGTAGGCCTGACCCTCCAACATCAGAGGGAGTAGGTGCTCTCGGGCACCGGAGATGGCGTTTCTTCTGCTGTGGGTGCCAGTCGGCGAAATCGGGCCATCTGAAACCGAGACAGAGAGTCAGCAATCGCATTGTCAGTGCCGGGGATGTAGGAGACTATGACGTGAAAGTTGTGTCGGGCAGCAATGGCAAACAAAGTGCGTACAAGCGCCATTAAGTCGGGGCACTTTGTGCGTGAGCGGAGCCAGATGTCGCATACGCTACGGTTGTCGCAGTGGAAGCGGATGCGCTTCAGATGCAGCTGCGGTGCCCATGTGGATGCTGCGGCCACGATGGCAAAGAGCTCCATCCACGCGATGGATCTCTGGGATTGGTGCCTCTGCCACCGGTGTTGGAGCCACCGGCCGGCGAAGAAAGCACCATAGCCGATGGCTCTAGATGCGTCTGTGTAGAGGTCCATATCAGCGGCGGCTAACCACGTGGGTTCTAGGAAGGAGGCGACGCCATTCCAGGCAGGGAGGAAGTCAAGCCACCACTGGATGTCTGCTTTGGCGTCTTCTGTGATTCTGATGTAATCATTTGGATTCGGGACCGTTGTGCTGAGATCAATGAGGCGGCGCAGAAACATGCGGCCCGCAGGGACCGCCTTGCAGGCAAAGCTGAGGTGACCTATCAGGGACAACAATTCAGACTTGCGGGCGGTAGGGCGGGTATGTTGCCAAGCCTTGAGGGCAATGAGAAGGTCTTCTAACTTGTCGGATGGGAGGCGGATTTCGAAGCGCTCTGTGTCCAGCATGACACCGAGGAATGTCAGGGTTGTACTAGGGCCTTCCACCTTTTTCGGATTGACCGGGAAGCCTAAGTCGTGGCAGGCTACCAGGGCACGGTCAAGCTGGTGCTGCGCGCCGATAGAGTCCGTCGCTCCACCACGGTAGTCGTCTAAGTAGTGGATGACTGGGGCTACGTCGAAGTTGTGCGACATGACCCACTGGAGGGCATCTGCGACTTTGTTAAACAGCGACGGTGATGAGCGAAGGCCGAAGGGTAGGCATTTGTCTACGTAATATTGCCCGCGCCAGAACAGGCATAATAGTTCCCAGTCCTCTTTCCGTACTGGACAAATGCGAAATGCGTCTTGGAGGTCGACCTTCCACAGATGGCAGCCGCGGCCGAGGGACCGTGCAAGATTTACGCCGTCGTCGACCGAACAGTACTGTACAGAGAATTTGTCGACAGGGATACCATCGTTCACTGAGTGGCCCTGTGGTGCTGACAGATGCATAATCAAGCGCCATTTTTGCACCGACCGTGACTTCTTGGGAACCACACCCAAACCGGAGACCTGTGTAAGTGGGAAGGGGGGCTCTTGGTAGGGACAGGCCATGCGACCTACGGTAATTTCACGACCGATGGCAGCATCGACAATGTCAGGGTGCTCAATCGCTGATTTGAGATTACGAGAGACTCAGAAGGTACGGGGACCAGCAAACCCAACATCGAACCCATAAGACAAAGAATGTATTACGAATGAGGCAAAAGCCGGATCAGGATGCTTACACAAAGCGTCATGCAGGTAAGAAACGTTAATGGGGGTTACAGGCGTGTGCAAATGGATTGGCTCGTGAGCGAGGGTGCGTGTAGGAGAGATGTGAGCAGCTGGGTAGAGTGTGTGAGTGCTATTGGCCTGGGTGAGTGTAGAGTTACTGGTGAGTGACTGGAGTGACCGAGTCTCCAAGCTGGGCAACTGCGAGCTATTGGTCGCGGCTGGCGGCGGCTGGCTTTCCTGGGCAGGGTGGCTGCCAAAGCATGTGCTGCACTGGTGGCCGTAGCGACAGGCTGCGCGTTGGCAGCGGCCTTGGTTGTAGTCGCGGCAGACAACTGGGGCGTTTGGCTGAGCGGTAGCCCCTGACCGCTGTGCCGGAAAGGGGCGTTTGGCTGCGGGCCCGTCAGACGGTGAAGCTAGGCTACGGGCGCGGGGGCAGCGAACTGCTAAATGACCTTGCCGGTTGCAGTGACGGCAGGGAGGCAGGATGGAGTTTGTAAACCAGTCCGACCAGAGTTCCGGATCTGACGTGGCAAGGCTAGATTTGCTGCGTGCAGCTCTTGCACGGAACGACATGTCGAAGCCAGACCACGCACCGAATGTATAGCGTGCGGCCGCTTTCACGATTGTGCTTTGATACTTGAATAATTCCGGACCTCTGCCGGGGTCGTGGTGGAGGGCTACTTGGGCGAAGGCTGAGAACGCCTCCAACCACGATGTCAAGTCTACAACTTTCTTTAGACGGGATGACGACGACATGGCAGATGGCACAAGGGTGATGTGGTCCCCCGTCCCCTGCAGGGTGAACCCACTGTCCGGACCCATGCTCGTATCAAAAGCCAGCTCTCCCAGTACCCTACCAAAATCAACGTACTCACGTTTGATAATCTTGTCCGTGAGATGGTCGCTGAGGGCAGGCAATGGGATGGATGGTGGACGCTCTGGGGCGAGCAATTCGCCGTCCAGGAAGAGACTCTCCTGGTCTGGTCTTAGTGCTGAAGCCAGTGAAGGCTGGACATATTCAGGCTCAGGCACCACAACATCACCCGAGACTGGACCAGCCCGCTGTGCTGCTGTTGCTGCTGCTACTGTTGGCTGTGCATGTGGAGGTACCACCGGTAGACCCATCGATGTTGTCAAGGACGTCATGCAGGACGCCACTGCATCTTGCACGACCCGAGAGATCTCGGCAGATTGCTGCGACGTGAACGCGGGCGCGGGCGATGAGTCAGGCTGGGTCGCGGCCGCGGGGCTTTGAGTGGCCGGGACTGACGCAGGACTAGCCCGCCGACGAGTGGTCTTTTTTGCGACCTGGCTCGTAGAATTAGCTTTGTTTCTTGCCTGGGCCGACAAATGCTCATGCAGACGGCTCACCTGGGCTCTAAAATTGCCTGAGCAAGAAAGCCCCAGTTCTCGCAGTCGAGTTTCAACTCCGTCGACTTTGAGTTGGCGGAGATCGGAAAGTGATGGCACGGAGCTCATGGTGACGGCTCAGGATCTCCTACGACTGCGGAACTTTAGAAATTTCAAATCTCACCAAGAATTTGCCAAATTGAGAAATTGCAAAACAGTTGGATGCACGCAGCAGCACAGCTAGCAAGAGAAAGAGCCGTGGATGGGTTTGTTCCTGTTTTTGATGGCTGTGGCTATCCGTTGGCCCAACGGTCTCGTGTGAGTACGGTGTTTGTTTGTGCTGCCAGCTCGCGCCCAGTATTTGTTTGCGCTGGCAGCTCGGGCCCGGTGCGCGAGTGAAACCGAACCGTGACAAAGGCTTTCGCTCTTTTGTGCTATTGACTGGCTTTTCATACGATGCCTATTGATGTCTAGGGACATGCTGTCTAGCCTTCCCCCAGTACGCATTCACGGGGCTTTGTTGAAGTTCGTGCCGTGAACTGCCAAAGGGAATTGTTTGAATGGTACTGGGGCGAGGGCGACATTACGGCGTCCCTACAGCCGGCCTAATCGCGTTTGTCGCCACAACCGATTTTATGGCAGTGAAAGAGAGTGAGAGTGAGAGAGAGAGAGTGAGAGTGTGTGTGTGTGTGTGTGTGTGTGAGAGAGAGAGAGAGAGAGAGAGAGAGAGAGAGAGAGAGAGAGAGAGAGAGAGAGAGAGAGAGAGAGAGAGAGAGAGAGAGAGAGAGAGAGAGAGAGAGAGAGAGAAGAGGAAGCGCACAAATGTGTTTGGAATGCAAACGAGGAGAAACCCATTGTGTACATGAGCAGATCTGCTTTACTGACTAAATGCTACACAATCCTTGAAAATCATGATCTTCAATTTCCTTCAGTGAGTGCCACACATTACAAGGCCAGCAGTACTTTTTAAGGTTCAGAGGCTGGTGAAACCCATGAAACTGTTGCTGATTTAGCAAGACTTCTACACAAATTCAGCAGTAAAGCAGCTTGCTTCCCAGCTGCTACCATACCAGAATCTGTATCGTCCATGCGGGAAGCACCCTCCGCCTTCACCTTCCCCAAATACGCATCTTGGTCACTGTCGTCGTCGTCAAAGTCGTCGCGATACGTTGCACTGCCCTGTCAATGCACGGAGGACGGGAAGAACGCAATATGTTAGTAGAGTTCACCGACCAGCGAGCCAGTGACTGTGAGCAAAGTATGGCTCTGCCGCACTGCACTAACATCAACACACAACAACAACAACAACAACAACAACAACAACAACAACAACAACAACAACAACAACAACAACAACAACAACAACAACAACAACAACAACAACAACAACAACAACAACAACAACAACAACAACAACAACAACAACAACAACAACAACAACAACAACAACAACAACAACAACAACAGTGCACCACAAAACTAGAGAGCGCAGGACGTACCGACTTGCCGCCCTTATTGCGGATCCTGAGCTTCTTGGCTGAGCAGAAGTCATACAAGCGACTGTACTCATCTCTGGACACAGGCAGATCAACAGGAATCAACGAAATACACAAACAAACATGAGAACACTCCGACAGACATGTGTTCAAGACAGCAGTGGAATGCGATACAAAGTTGCAGAGGGAAACAAAGGACTAAAGCGGGATTCACAGAAGCAATTTTGCGATGCGATACGCGATGCGACGGCCGCGAAACAGCGAAATTCCCAAATTGCATCCATCTCGCAGCTCAACTGGGCCATCGCAGAAGTTGAGCTTGGATCAACGTCCGCGACGTGACATGCTATGTACGATTTTGACCTTTGTTGCAACAAAGTTGAAGAATTGCTATAGAATTGTAAAATTTGTACCCAGCCACGCGAATACCATGGTGACGTACTCACCTGCCTTGAACTTCGCACCAAATCAGCAAATTGACATCATATGGCTGACTTCTTCTGTGAATGGTATTTCTCGAGTTCCTCTATGAGTTCTCGTGTGCTCTGGACGGCAGTCAAGAGTCAGTCGAGTGAAGTAAAGTGTGCAGGAAAAGTGCAAGCTCCAACTAGTGTTGGGAGCAAGTAACTTTCTGATGTTTGTATGTATGTACAAGAAATTGAAAAAAGCATCAGTAACACACATCAGCTTACTTGTCCATACTCTGGAAGATGTGTACAATGTTATTCTTGACTTCTAACTCAAAGTCAAACGACCGATGAGTTCCAGTGCCGCCGCGCGAGAAATTGACGGCGACCACCTCATCGAAGCGCACGTGCAGCACGGGCTTGTGCACAAAGATTAAGCCCTTCTCCAGCGGGAACAGCATGCCATGGCTGGCCTTGTAGCTGTAGCTGATGCACTGCCCGCCGCACTGACTGCACACATTCAAACACGCACAAACACATAAACCAAATAAACACCCGCCCACAATCAAACACACCCCCAAAAACAAAACACCCGCCCAAAAACAAAACACCCGCCCACAATCAAACACACGTGCACATGCAAACCGACAAATCTAAAAGAGCAGTTCGATTCTGACCATTCAAGCATGTACTCTCCCAGACAGCACATCAATTATAATGACATCACATAGTCTGCAACTCAACGGGTGGAAACATCCAACATGATGTACTTAGTGCGTGGTACGTCCAGTACGTGTGCAGATCTCAAGCACCAGTACAACTCCTTACAGGGTTCTAGCCAAAGGGGGTGTGTGGGGGGGGGGGGGTGCAGCAACTCCCCCCTCCCCCCCCCCCTACTCATTTTCCGATTTTCGTGTTTTCCTGCAATTCAAAGAAAATGCAGTCGAAAGTCACTCCTAGATGGTTCATAAGGGCACATTTGTCTCGGGCGAAGTCGGGGATTCGCGCCATCCGTTGCATTTAGCGTGGCAGGACAATACTACTAGGATTGGAAAGTGAAAAAATGGGATACGGGATAACTGTGTCCCATGTCCCTGCCCCCCCCCCCCCCCTGCCCCCCTACTATTTTAACCTGGCTAGAACCCTGTCTCATTATACTCTGCTAAGATGTTGTGGCTCACACATACTACCAAGAGTACATAAACCAGAATGTGCAACTGTGCATATCAGATCTGAAACCGCGCAGTTTGTGCACTACGTCACCCTGATGAGGTCAGCCAAGCCGCGACTTGCGTACAGCTCAAATTTTCATGTTTCATAGCCCGGAAATCAGCCAAGTTTGCTTCATTTTAGACGTCCAGTTTCAGGATTTCGGTGTTTTGTGTGACTGTGTACGCTGCGTACATCCACCGACAAGTAAAGTCACCAGGCTATCCGTATCAAAAAACCGAAATCAGGACAAACTCAGTGACCTGCACCACCACGACTGGTTACGCAACTTTTCACTGTACCTAGTACCTGTGGCTTACCATGCCGTCAGAAATGACGTACTGCACGAATTACGCTCCCACAGGAACCATCCCGAGTTGCACACTCTGGTTTATGTACTCTTGATACTACAGGTAGTACTAGTGTACAATTTGCACCACAGCCGGCTGACAAACAGGGGAAAGAACACACGCAAAAGACAGGACAACGCGTGCCAAGATCATCATTACCTTCGGTAATTGCCAGGCACGACGATCTTCTTTGAAGCGACTGCCTTCATGACGCGGCTCAGCACCTCGTTAATAGGCCCATTCATCTGCTGAGTCAGCTTACCCTGGTACTGCTTCTCCAGCTCTTCTCTACAAAACGTTGAAAGAAAAAAGGGCATACGGAAACGATTTAAGAGTAACTCTCCACCACTGTAACTAGATACTATCAAGAGTACATAACCCCAAGAGTGTGCAACTGCCTGCACAACCTCTATGCTGTGCTGCGACGGCAGAACTTCACATCACGTGACATGGTTCAAAAGGTTATGCTGGCAAACAGTGCAAAGTGACCACAAGAGAGTTGTACCCGAAGCTGGGCTCCGTACAACCCTGTATCTATCATGCACAGAGTGCACGGGTTCATCACGTGATGTGAAGTTCTGCCGTCGCAGACCCCATAGCTGAAGTTGCACACTCTTGGGGTTATGTACTCTTGATACTATCTATATACAGTCAGAAAGTGCAACAACTAGGGACAAAACTGACAGAGTACTGAGACATTCGACGCCCTGACACCTAGCTTCAACATCCTTTTTCCTTTCTACATTTATTATTGGCTCAATACCCGAGTCTCTACAAAACGCATGAAAACACTCGTGTACAAACACAAACACAGACACAGTGTCATATTGAGTCTTGTTGCTTGCTCCGTATCCAGGACGTAAAACAAGCTCTGTCAAAACGTCTCCAGCTGAGTCACATGGACAGGTGGGGCGAAGAAGCCCCCATGCCGACATGTGTATGACATCCATGCCGCTACTACACACACATACACACGCACACAAGGACGCGGTCACATAAGCACGTGCACACACACATACACACACCATACCAACATGCACACACCAACCTGCACACACCAACCTGCACACACCAACCTGCACACACACACACACACACACACACACACACACACACACACACACACACACACACACACACACACACATACCATTTGGACCATTTGACGCCCATCGCCAGAGGCGATGATAGCGATGCTACAGCAGAAGCCATAGCAGCTTGTGCTGGGATTGCACCATTCAACATCTTGCAAGGCTGAAGAATTGACTGCCACTATTCAGCTTGGTCTACACCACAGCTATGAAACGGCTTTTTCTGGCCAGTGAATCACACACGCACGCACGCACGCGCGCGCGCGCGCGCGCCCACACACACACACACACACACACACACACACACACACACACACACACACACACACACACACACACACACACACACATACCATTTGGACCATTTGACGCCCATCGCCAGAGGCGATGATAGCGATGCTACAGCAGAAGCCATAGCAGCTTGTGCTGGGATTGCACCATTCAACATCTTGCAAGGCTGAAGAATTGACCACAGCTATGAAGTGGCTTTTTCTGGCCAGTGAATCACACACACACACACACACACACACACACACACACACACACACACACACACACACACACACACACACACACACACACACACACACATACACACACACACACACAAACACACACACATACACACACCACCGCCACCACCGCTACCACCACCACCACCACCACCACCACCACCACCACCACCGCCACCACCACCACCACCACCACCGCTGCCGCCGCCACCGCCACCGCCACCTCCACCACCACCACCACCACCACCACCACCACCACCACCACCACCACCACCACCACCACCACCACCACCACCACCACAACCACCACCACCACCACCACCACCACCACCACCTCTGCCGCGATACTAGAGACCATTAGCAAACCGTCACGCTTACGGTCGAACGATTGCACAGCTCCGGTTTCCAATCGTCAAAGCATGCACGGCACAAAGCCGTGCGTTGAACCATTCAGGCACGTGGTGCGGGTCATGCGCGATGCGTGATGTAGCCGGAATCGTAATCGCTTCGTGATCACCCGTTGGGGCTGCTCCAATCGTGCTCACGAAACGGTTCGAGTTTCCGGTGTGCCGGCCTCATTCCCAGTTTGTCCCAATCGTCGCGCCCGACGGTTTGCTAATGGTCTCTACTCATGATCACACGAAATACACGTGCCTAATAGTTCACTGCCAATGTATCACTGCACACGTGCACTAACATTACACTAGTAGATGTGTTGCAGTGGCAGTGGCAGTGCAGTCAGTCAGGGTAGAGTAAACCACTACTAGTACTAGTAATATGCTCTGTGTACTTGTTGCCGTGCATCGTGATTGGCGTACAAGCTCATGCCAACATATACACGCATCTGATGCCCCTTTTGAATCAGATAAGCCCATGGGCTTGTCCGCGGAATTCTTTGGTATTCTGTATGGAGTGGCACCACGTGCACTGGTTTGCCACTAAATACAACGTATCTACAATGTTGTCATTAAACATGACCTCTGTGTGAAACAGAAGTATGGCGGTACTAACAGCAATAGTACCGCCGGTACTAACAGCAATGGACGGTACACAACAAAAGCAATGCCACGTTGCACGCATGATAAGAACAGGCACACCGGCAGACTCACTCTTACAGTGCCACCTCTGCTTCCATCGACTCTTCCTTGTTGAGGATGAGAATCAGAAAAGGGTAGCGCGTCTGGCCCTGCCTCATGGGAGGGTCCATAGCCACCTAGGAAAGAAACACGCATGCACACACACAACAGTGGGAGGAGGAGATATTAGAGAACGACCGAGACAAATACGGATTACAGTCATGCCTTAGTGCAAACGCTGCAGTACTACCTGGAGCAAGTGTCACTTTCCTGTTGGCCGATAAAAATAAATATTCGTACACGAGAGCAGTATGTTTTACACATACATGTAACTGCTGATGGATGGCCAAATGCCTATAAATGGCCCGTGCATATTGTTCTACGGAGCCATGGTCTACATGCACACATGAACGTCGTGCGTACAACCAGGGTGTTGTGGTCCTGGCCTACACGAGTCCCTGATTAGAATGCAGAAACCGGCAGGAGAGCTGTTCCGTGGTCCACCTTCCACACGCCGACATAAGAACATACTAAATATTCCAACACTATAATTCATGCCAATGGGAAGGATAAGCAGCCGCCAAAAGTACAGCGTAGCAAAGAGGTCACAATGTGTGGTAGTCAGCCATTCGAAAAGTCCATTACTAAAGATAAATACCTCCTACTTCAGTAACTATTATAGTATGTTGGTAGCAAGAGTCCATGGGGTTATGAACTCTTGTTGGTACTTGGTGTACTGTACGGCTGCACTACTGCACATAATTCTACATGACTGTTCTCTAGTCTTGATAGTTGTAATTCCTACTGATGAGACAATGAACTCAAATACATGTAAATACATTACATTTTGCAAAATACAAAATACAGTGTAGTCTGTATCACTGTATCCATACCATTCTGGCCACACAAGTCACCTAGCGGCAACAGCTACATCACTAGATGTACAGCACATCGGCCACACTGCTTTTTCTATAAGTAATTTTAAGTATATCCTGCAAAACTAACAGTGTAACGTTTCAAGCTACATGGTTCAAGTGATCACTGTCCTCCGATCTGCCACTCTCAGCTGGCTGTGCTTTGGGCAGTGGTCATCCTCACTGCTGTGGGCTGGTAGCATGCTCACCAAAGAAATGCCTCAAAAAAATCATTTAGCAGGCTTTCTTTGTGGTTTGTGAGCGGTGGCGGAACGGAAATATCTTTTAGATTACCACCCACCCAAATGCGGTCCATGGACATCATATCGGGTGAAGACAAGATGCATCGGATGCCATCTCCTGTTATCTGGTTGTTCACCAACGACACCATCTTCAATGAGCTGGTCGTCCGCTTCATGTCAACTAGCTTTTTCACTGTGTTGTCACCCAGCTTGTTGCGATCCAGGAACAAAATTTCCAGATTCTCGTGACCAGTCAGGGCTGTGAGTAGATCCTCTGCGATGGCATCCGTCATTCCTGTGTCGCCCATGGCAACACACCGGAGGTCACAGCAAAGCGGCAACGTTGACATGAATGTCATGTAAGAGTCCACATCAGTCACTCCATCCTTGAAGAGAGGATTCTTAGTCAACGATAGGAACTGCAATTTACCTTGTGTAGATGAAGCCACTATTGCCGCCGCTCCACTAATGCTTATACTATTCCGATAGAAGTCTACAGAGTGTAAAGTTGAGTTGAACTGGAGTCCCTGCCTTGCCAATGCCTGGACACCGTCATCTTTAATAGCATTGCTAGACAGGTCAAGTGTCCTGATACTGCTGTCACCGGCAATGAATTTTCCAAGGCTCTCCATAGTTAAGTTTGATACTTCGGCCTTGAGGTTGCCTCCATATTGCGCAACGATGTCCTTCACATCCCTCTGGCAAGTACGCCCAGAAGTGATAGACCAATCGGCTATAACTATCTTATCATCGCCGCAGTGTCCAGCCTTCTCCAGTGCCTTCAGCAGAGACGCGTCCACATCATTTCCAGTAAGATTCATGCAGCATGGTTGCTGCAATTTGTTGGGCCGTGCCTGTGCCTTGTCTGCTGATGCGGTGTTGGTGTGAACACGCCTTGCCTTCAAGAAGTTATCTATATGCGAAGCAATGCCATTGGTGAGTAGGTTACTCCCAAGGTGGATATCCTCTATACTATGATTGTGCTGTAGGGCTGACAGTATACAGGCGGCGTCTTCGTCCTTGAGGTCATTGTAGGCCAGACTCAGGATAGTCAAATTTGGCATGGACAGTATCAGTGAAGAAAGGGCTGTACCACATCCCGTGAACAAACCAATCTCCTCTGCTAACAAGTGAGACATGCTCAGGAAAGGTGTTGTAATTTTTGTTTGGAGTAGTTCCAGCGAAGCGTTTCCCAAGTCATTGCTCGATATGTTTATAGTGCGGAGATGGGGCAAGCGAAGCAGCTTAGACAAGGACCCCGCGTCTTGCTCCGTTAAACATGCGCCTGAAATGTTCAGTTTTGCAATGGTGCAATCACGCTGCATATGTTGAGAATGGGATAGCGCAGCAGCAAAAACTTCCAGTGACGCTCCGCTCAGGTTGTTCCCGCAAAGGTTCACATCAACGCATTGTCTCAGGTAAGGCGCTATCTCCGTGATCTGATCTCTAGAGAGGTTGCAGTTACTGATGTCTACAAGGTGTACTCGCTCAGACAGTCTCAACACATTGCACAAAGCTGATATGTCACTATCGTTCAGATGTATGCCTGACAAGTTAACTCCATGTGATGTTTGCAGTACATGTAGTATTACGGCGGAGCGGACGAGATCTTTACACTGATCGTCTCTGAAAGACAAGACGGGTGAGCTGTTGTATGAAAGACTGCACTCCAGTAAACACGACATCAAGAACAAGATGAAGCGGCGTTGCTGGAGCACTGACCTGTGTGTTGATTCAGCCAGCATGACTTTAAACAAGTCAGGCAGGAGCTTAGTGTGAATAGAACCCGCAACAAAACGCCAGAATGGCTGCGTTTCCTCACCCAGGCCAATTTCCGAGACGTATTGTGAAATATTCGAGACGAAGAAGGACTGCTGCGTTGCGAAACTACGTGCTGCACAGAACTCTTGTATGGTAAGGTGAAGAAAGGCAACACGTCGCCCAGCACTGCCACTGGCTGATGACTGGTTGTCCACAGGGACGAGGAATCCTAGTTGCTTACACAGTGTCAAACAGTCATCCGGCATATCTGAGGATGAAAACCAGGCGCGGCCCAAAAGTAAGCGTTCCATGGACAAACGATACAGATGGCACAATGCTTGCACCAACTCTGCGCCATCACATAGGGAACCAGCAGGCTCTTGCTGAACGTGATGCTCCAGGCCGTTGGTAATGACATCATGCACTGATAATTGATCTCCGGCCTGGAATCCCCCACTGTACGTATGACCACTGGTTGGAGTCTGGCTGAGTGTCACTTTGCTGAACTGTTTTCCCCGCTTCCTCTCCAGCTCTGCAACAGCTGAACACATGAACTGCACGTAGAATGATGTCGTACACGGCGGTACAGCCTCGGATACGGCAAACTCTTGGCAAAGGAGAGCGGCCAGCAGTGGTGTAGTCTGCACGGCATGCTTCAGGTGCTTGCGAGATGCCTGCGCTAACTCAGCCAAGCACTTTTCAGCACTCTCCGCGCCACCCAACTGTTGGCAGCAGAAGTCCCGTAATTGTGCATCGGTGAAGCCAGTCAGCCGGTAGTAGGCTGCACATTGTCGTACCAGATCAGTGGCCTTGTTGCAGGGCCGGCTAGTGACAACCACGGACGCATTCACCAGCCGATTTTTCTTAGTCTCGTCCATGAATTGGCAGGCTGCTGATGTGTACTGGAATGCATCCTTCCCGCCTTCATCCACGCCATCTAGAAGCAGGAGAACACGTTCAGAGTTCGCTGACAAATATCGCAAAACCTCTTCTCGCTCGTCCGAAGTTATGTCCAGGGCGTGGTGATCCAACCCCAGAAACTCTGTCCACTCACTGGTGCTAACACGGTCCGTATCTCGGCACGAGATTGGAATGACAAAGTCAAAGTGCTCTTGCATTAGACCAGATGCTTCATCGCCTGAATAGTCGGCCATCACACGTCGACATGCCATTGTCTTGCCTTTACCAGCACCAGACATCAACATGCAACGCTTCAACAACTTCACTTTCTGGCCAGACGACGACGCACCTCTGCTATTACTACTTGCACTGCGCGCCGGTTGTGCGTCGGATTTGGGATCTTTCATCAGTAGCTGCAATGGATTGTGGAGTTCAAAACTGCATTTGCTGTCATCCGCAAGGTCGGCAAGGAATTCTGATGCTGAGGGACCGGGCTGTGCTCTGTTGCCCTTGCTTCGCTGAACAGACAGACGCAGTGCTTCGCGTTCAGTCATCGCCGTCATCGATACAAATGTGTCCTCCACACTTTCTTGTGTAGGTGCCATGCTTGCGTGCCGTGATTGCACTTCGCACTGCTTCTTCAAGTGTATTTTATAACGCTCAATGGGGCTTTTATCACCGTGGTATCTGCCTTTCAGAATCGCATTCTCTATCCAGGCCATTGCGGCAGTATATGGTATACGAGGCCGGGCTAGATCGCACTTACTAGCCGTTTCTTCACATTCCTCTGCTATGCAGCGCTCACGCTCTTTCTGCAGCATTTCGGCCATTGCTGGCTGCTCCACGGCCAGCACTGCCTTGCAGAACGCATCGAAAACGTTTTCCGACTGGAAACTATCGCTGGTCTTCTTGGCAACAAGTAGTCTGAGAATCTCGCTGACCTGCTGATACTGGGTCGAATGTTGTTTGATTTCCACGTACTCACGAGTGCCTTCGAACACACCAGCATTGACCAGGTGATCGAAGACCAGCATTACATCGGCATGAAGAACGCGCTGCAGTTCCTTCTCGCGGAACTGAAGTGCCAGGATCTCGTACCACTGGAGGATTTCCTTGCGCACCTCCTCCATCTCGGAGCGTTTTCGCTTCTTTTGGCGCCACCTCTGCATCGTAGCCAACTGTGTGGGAGTTTGTGCAGTCAGGGCCGACTCACTTGGTAGCCAATCTAGTTCGATAAACTCACCAACACACTAATACTATGTAATAGTAACAAGTAACCTGGTAACACTAGCAGTTGCAGTAGGGTCGGACAACAGTCCGGGTGGACATGCAGTGAACGTCGATCAGAACGATTTCAGACCACGGGCACGGACCCACTCCCCATACCCACCATACATCGCACACTCGGCGACCGATGCAAACAACTACTTGTAGTTGTAGCCGTGGCTTATCATAATGTAACTTGTTATGTCACTTATGATCCACACGGACCATAGCCTAGGCATAGGCTTATGCCATAGGCATAGCGACAGGTAGATAAGAGTCTAGTTATACTGGTCATCTACTAGTA